TTAAACTAAAACTAAAGCAAAGAATTAATTTAAAAAGGGTCACATGAAAACTAAGAAAGTTGAATAAATCGAAATGAAGATAATTGATATAAATCGGAAATTGCGTGGAACTCATAAGAAATTTAATTGCATTGCTGCGTCTATATAATCGGTTTCTTCTTAATATTCCTCACTATAAATGTTGTTTAATGTTTCGTTCGTTAAAAACTTAAAGACACTTGGACAATGTTTGAAACTGCTACGAGTTGTTGGTTGATAAGTTGTTTTGGGTTTTTTCAAATTTGATTTACAATTATCGATTGATGTAGATTGCAATTATACAATTAATATGTAAACATTGCCGCTAGACTTGTTATTTATTTAATGCCTGGATGAATATTAAAACCATTCAAATTATGCTTTAAAAATAAATAAACATGTTTATTTGTGGTTGTTTCTCATGCTAGTGCGGGTTTTTTACTTGTCCTTCTCAGACTCGGCAGCGGCCACGGGCTTCTTGTTACCAATGGGGATGGCCACTCGGATCCTAGAAGATAAACGCGATTTAGAATATCTGTTTTACAGGGATTAAAGACGGCCAAACTCACTTGTCGGTGATTTCTGCCAATTTGCTGCGCCCCAGATCCAAGTAGGTGTCGATCGATTGCTTGTTGTTCTCGTAGACCTTGGGCAAGGTAAACAGCGAGACAAAGGCTGCAAAAATATAGAAGATTATCAGTTGTACACCCGATTGGGCTTAGCGAATCCTCCACTTACCCAAGATGACCAGAGTCATGCCATTGAACCAGGCACCCACGTAGGTGAAGACCCACAGAATGACGCCGAACTTGATCGAATCGATGATATCCTCAACCAGAAACAGACGCCTCAGCTCGGAGGTGAAGCCATTGATATGTGCCACAGCCACCCCGGCAATGTTCTGCACCTTTTCGTGCGACAGCGTCAGATCCAGCTCCAGGTATTCCCTGATTTCAAAAGAAGTTACGTTAGTTAACCACCATTTGGGGAGTTTCAGTCAACAAAACTCACTTGAAGGGGTGTCCCTCGTTTGTCTTTTGCACGGCCTGTGTCACAGATTTGTAGATTCTGAAGGCGACGGTGCCGAAGAGGGCCAGGAGCGACAAGTAGGCGAACACGCTGATCACCGAGAAGCTGGAAATGGCCACCAATGTGATCAGGCCAGCGCCGAAGACAATGCCGGATTTCTTCACATCGCGCCAGTAGATAAGGGATTCCACTGGAAAGAAGAGCAAATGGATCAATTAGAATCTGCTTTTGGTGCACCATACACATTTGATTTTTCATTCCCAAATTATAACCCTCATAAACTGTGAAAAGAGACGAGATAGAGTGGACAATGTGGACTGAGGATCCGCAAATATACAGAGGCACACATACGTTCAGCGTCTCGCAAGCATTTACATATATCTTTTCAGCTGGCGGCAATTATGCAATCTATGAGATAAATAGATGAGATACAGATTCGAGCACCACGGCCCCATCGGCTGAGGTGGTAATTATCGTTGGCATTTGTTTAACAGCATGCAACTAAGCTCTGCATTATAGTATCTGAACCCAAGCACCCCCTTTTTTCAGTCCGGTTCACTCACACAATCTGTTCGACATTTTCGGGTATTCAAGTTTTCGGGTTTCACAACGGATCGTTCGAGGTGCTCCTACGTTTGACGTTCGCTGCCAAGTTCTACACACTAGCGAAGTATTATTTGGCGTCTGCTGGTCGGGGGCAGAACGTATATGAAAATGTCTAGAAGAAGAGGGCCAAATTGTCCGGACCCAGCCGGAAAACAAAAGAGAGCCGCAAAGAGCATAGATACCAAGTGGGAAGAGCGATGGCAAACGAGTGTTTGAGTGGTGAACGGATATGGAAATGGTAGTGGTAATCGCTTAGGAATCGATTGTCCAGCTCGTGCCGGAATGTATCTTGTGGATTCAGCCGCTGACGTAAACACCTCTCTATCCACTACAACCTGGCCATCGGATTCGGCTTCATTCGCTTTCGTCGGATTTGCCGATAAGAAGTCACTGCCCCACGGCGTCTGGGTTAACCCAATTAAGATATGTACTAAAACAAACAATAGTTCTATAAATACACATCTCAAGTGTTGGGATTTGCCAACTCATTGAGAGGTCATTAGTTTGAACTGATTTGTTAGGGTGCTCAGGTAACTAATAAGGGAAATCCAGTAAGGTGCTTCCCATAAGGAAATGATATATGGCCTATAATTAACGATAAGCATTTATTATTTTATAGTGCCCTTGCGTTTGGGAAACACATTAATGGGTTAATAATGGTATGTTTGTTGGAGATGCGTTGAAATATATATGTTATTCTTACAGGTATCATTTTAAAGACTGAGTACAATGAAAAACTAAATGGTATATCACTTAGGAATACACCTAAACAAATAGTATATAGATGAAACCGAAAGCCTGCGAGCTGGGTAAACTAGTTTTCTGACTGAGACTCGGATTCGAATTAGTCTAAAGTTGCTAGGCCAGACTCCATCTGAGAGGTATTATGTAAATATGGGTGAAATAAATTAGAAAGGAGACGCACAATAGTGATGAGATGGCAGCGTCTGAGGCCCTAAACTGGGTAAAAAGACTGAAAAAGATCTCTCGTGGGAGAAAGTTACCCGAGTAGCAATTGAATCGAAGAGTTCGTTACAATTGCAACTTCAATCCCGCCGAAGATTTCTTCGGATGGAACTGGTTTGGTTTCGTCCGCCTTGAAACCCGTTTTGGCCGAAAGTGAAGTGCAGCCTCATCGGGACCGCAGAACACGTATGTAGTAGTGGAAAATAATTACAGAAAAGAAGGCAGATAAGAACGACTGGGACTGATAACGTATAGTAAGTACCTGATACTTAGACACTTGTTTAATAATTCAATTTAAAATTGCCAATGCAAGCTGGATTTATGATGATGGGCGAACATTTTTGTTGTGCTGGTTGCCAAGCACTGAGTTCACAACGTGGCAAAAAAAATATACGAAATTAGCACTGTCTAGAATGGAAGTGAAAAAGAATTTGCATAGCGAAGGCTGGATTTGATTGGATTGTGCTTTTTGGTTATGACCATCACTCAACATTTTAGCCACGTTGACTCTGATGATATTCTGTTGCTGACGTTGGCAGCAATCACTGCTCCATAAATAAATTTTATTCCACGACCCCCCGAAGATAAGACCCTCGTTGCGTTGTTGTTTTCGGGTGGGCTTTAAGAACCCACAGTGGTCAACGTGGACCAGAGGCCAGGTGATAGCAAGGTGGAGATAGCTCCCTGATGGTTTCGTATTTGGTATTACCTGGTCCGCGTTCTGGAAGCGGCTGAAAGTTGCCGTTGGAGTTGTTGCGAGAGTAGCGCTTGCTGCCACCTGCCATGTTTGGTGTTTTCTTAGCTTTTTAGTTTTGAAAACCGTTACTAGCTTGGCGCCAAAATGTATGCAAAGCGGTCTGGCTTTTCGCGTGTCTAGGCTTAATTACAGCGATGAAGTTAGTTAGTTAGCTGGCTAGTCACGCACACACACACTCACTGGCACACGAATGGGACGATTCGGCCGACCGTCTGAATCGAGCGCAGCAAAAGAACTGGAAGAAGTTTGAGCACAAATTAAACCAACAAGCCTCCAATTTGCCGTCGCATATGGGGAACTGCTTGGTTGGAGCGAGCGGGACAGCAATTGTAGCGGGTGGGGGAGCGAGAGAAAGGGAGAGGGCGCGAGAGTGGCGGCAAACAAGTTTTCTGGATTAAAAAAGCAGTGGGAGCCCCAGCAAGCAGTACACAGTGGGCGCTCGAGCAATCCAATCGATTAATGGTCCACATATACAATTTAATGATTTCAATAAACACCATTACAGTGAATTTAATTTGTATTGTTTTTTGATGGTACTTATTGCAAAATTATTCTTTCATAAGCTAACAAACTTATTTAATCAGCGCCAATCTAGGCAGCCCGGCCCACTGTGCGGTTGGAGAGAGCTCCATTGGAGAGCGGGAGAGAGCAAAAGACGATCCGCATTGAAAGTAAAAGATAACGCGCAGTAACAACAACAAATCCGGCATGGGGGCCGCAAGGAGAGTCCGTACATATGTCAGCAAACGTGTCAACCTCAACCACGAACTTGGATTCGCGTTTCGGCTGTGTGGAGCCGAAGATTGGAGATTGGACTTACGTAGTGTTACGTTGAGTGACGTAGTGGGTGGGGTTTTGCGGTTGAATCATGAATCCGAAGCGTGACCAACAATGGCGAAATGCGGGAAATGCTAACACATACGATGGACCTAAATCAATAAATTAAATCTCCACTCACATCCCCCACCATTTGTACTGCTTATCTGGGCTCAATGGGTTCACTGGACTGCTTGCGCCAGTTTGACAGCCACTGTGCATGAAAATACCCTAAGCCCCGCTCAAATGAAAACGCAATAGACGGGAAAACTGCGTTTTGGCGAAATGCGAAAAAGCGTTTAAAGTGACATCATCATACGCAAACACTTACATAAATCCAACCCCAATCACCTCTAACGCTTTTGCGTTTGCTTTCTAACTTTTTTGGCGCGTTTGAATGAGTAAGCTCTGCTTCAAATGATATCATAGCGATGTTCGCTGACATAATTCCTAAGTGCGCGACAACAAACGAACATGAATGCAATTATTGTGTGCACCTGACATTGTCAGAAAGTCTGCAGAATTGCATAAGGCTATGTGTTCTAAAATAATAATAAGAAATGCAGCGCATAGAAGCAAAAAGAAAATAATATTAGAAAGTACACAGATGATGTGCACAAAATCCAATGCTTTTTTTTTACATTTATGATTAAATTTTGAAATCATAATTCACTCACGCACGCACCCCTCACTTGAAACCCCAAGAAAGTTCCACGAGTGACAAGCCACTTGAGGCTTTAATATTTTTATCAACTAAAGTTACCCAGCGGGAAGTGCTGATAAGAGGCAATTTTCTCAGATTAAGAATAGTTTTAAAAATCAATCACATTTCGCACAGTAATAATAATTGAAAAATTGTCACCATTGATAGAGTGAAAAAGATCAATGATTCCAAAAATACCCGATTCAGCAAACTCCTATCTAATCGAATATTAAAGCAGGGGACCTATCAGCCTTATAAGCCGAAATACTCTTCCAATTTTTCCTATAGTCCTCAACATTTTCCCTAAGACACTAAAAAGAATATTTATAAATAAATTACAGCTGCAATTAGAGAGAGGGGCTGTGTTGAAAAGAGAGGGAAAGAGAAAGAGCGCTAGGTGAGAAATAAAAGAAATTTCCCCAAGGGAAATTCCGTTTCATTCGATTTTCAGCTGGCCATGCGGTCGGCCCTCATATCTAACCAAACCCTATACCTACAAACATATGTACGTACATATGTACATATATATTGGAATTCTTCGGGAAAAATTTTCATTTAATTTTACTTACACGACTCGCGGTTCAGGGGCAAGTCTTTGAGTTCGCCCAGCGATTGCAGCAGACCCTGCAGCTGTTCCAGACCAGCAGCCATCGTATCTTATTGTGTTTGGGTTTGGATTGACTGAGTATATGTGGTTTTAGTTCTATCACTAAAGCTTTTCGCCCGACTGCAAGTGGAGGACAAAATTGGAAATGTAGCGAAAGTACGGTCGAATTCTCGCGCGGTTCACGGATCGAGGAAATGCGAATAATGCAACCGCGGGCATTAACATTAGCCAACTGAACGATCGCGGGCCAGAGCAAAACCCGATGGGATCCGACCTAGACGAGAGATATAGAACCCGTCCGAGAGTTCCTCGCACTCGCGGACGGAACTGATATGGAAAGAGCCAGTCAGCGGGGCCAGATAATAGGATAGGATTAATATTATTATATTATTTCATTCACCGCTGCTTTACGACGATAACCGCGATGGCTAGGTGCACGTCTTGATATTGAATGTGATACAGTGGTCGCTGGCTAGGGGTGATTACTTGGCGTTTTCAGATCTTTGTTAATAAATTGTAATCCTCTAAGGCAAAGTACACCAAATAAAAGGTGTATGAAAATAGGCACTGATGCTGTATGATGATGTCGTTTGCTAATGTTCAGAATTTAATTGATGTATAAGACTGGATGAGTAATAAGAAGCCCACTTTAGTGCTACATCTGGAACTTCGCACCTTCTAGCGAGCACTGTATCCACATTGCATATATAGCCAGTGCTAGGGCACCTATCCAAGTTATATAATTAGAAAAGTATCCGCACAAAAAACACAAGAAATTCCGCGAGTTTTTCTGGGGCTGGGGCAAACAGATTCAGAATCGGAATAATGCCGAGTGCTGAATGCTGCGACGACAATGACAAAGGCGCGGATACGTGTTTCTGTCAGCTGCAAGTGCAGGTCATTCGATGAGTTCAAACAGCTGACACAATCCGTGCCATCCGCAGTGCAGGAAGGGTATCCGCATCCCGCACAGACACTGTCACACACTTATAGCGAAACGCACGGGCACGCAGAGTGCGGAAAGAACCATTTACCGATCTCGTTTTCGTGTTCGTTTTCTCGATCTCGATCTGGACCTAGATCCCGACTCTGGGGCAATGTGACGTTGTCAAAGTCCGTACATCAACTAAACTACAATTAATTTCAGATGCGCTCAGCTCGTCGCAGGGCGAAGCGAATACACTCATGCCCACACAAACACAAGCGCACACACACACGCGCTGAAATTACACACGCAGGTACCTAGCTCGGAGAACAGCTGCGAGCAGTGAAATAGAAATAAGTGTAGAAATGTAACAAATACCAAAACTAACTTTATTTTAAGTTTTGGTTGTAAGTCACAACATCATGTACTTAAAAAATAATGAATTATGTACATATATTCCCCCACACTGAACAATACTTTTAATAACTTCTCAGTGAATCAGCAATAAATGAATGTTTAAAAAATTCAATGAAACGAAGAATGAGTAATCCGAAATGCCTATCGTATTGGCCCTTGCTGTGCGCAAGGAAGGGAAGAGGAAGGGCCTATGGCGAATTTCGAATAACATTGCTCGGAGAGAATCGCCCAGAGAGGGGGTGTTTTTATGGCCCAGCAGCAAGCATTTGTAGCCGTTAATGTAGTTGTCGCCTGCCAACAAACACACATGTGCGAAAATGCAAGTTAGGTAGCCGACTGTTTTTCTCCCGAACATGTCTCTGCATGCAGCGATCACCGGGAACAGGTAAAAGGAATCGCAGAGAGCGTATGTCCAGGTGAGAAGATGAGAGACCAAAGGGAAGCTGAACCGAATCGGTAAAACCGGTCAGGTACACGTGATCGGGTCCTAAAGGTCATACAAATGCGAACCGGTTATAATTTATGGCTACAGTGAAGGTGATCCAATTGTCAGGTTAAATTAAATGTAGTCTATACTATGCATTTGTACAGATCCTGTAGCATACAATACCATTTAATATGCTTTACATCTTGATTTTTGGTAGTCGATCTCTATGGATGTGTTATATCGGGTCCCCACTGTTCCAATATTCTGTTCCTCCCCAGTTCAACTGCTTGACCGCCCAGTGCAGCCTACATAGCAATCTTTAAATGTTAAACCGCACGGCTAGCAGAACAACAACACCAACTACAAAGATAATGCCAACGGCAGCAACAAATGACAGCGAATGGCTGAAATACTTAGCTAAAAGGCTAAAATTAGCAGGCAACTGTGAGTTTGAACATTGACGCCGGCCGGGTAGTCAGCATCCAAAGGGGGTGCGAATGGGAGAGAACGAGATAGATGAGTGCAGTAATGAATGAGATGGGAGACAGCCAGATTCAAGGTTAACGGTTTGGCGCCTTCAAGAAGCTGCTCACTGCTTATTTTGAATGATGAACTGCTTGCGGTAAGCAGTACGAACTGCTTACCCAAAAGCCCTCGAAATTTAAAATTTTGAATTTTCACTTTTCGCGATCTGACGTCATCATCGATAAAACCAAAAGCTCTGGGTGCTCATGACTTGGCGACTCCCTTATCTTCAATTTCTAATTGCAGACCAGTTATCGTTAGAATTAAGTCATTTCTACTGGCTTATCATTGTTATTTGTGCGTTTTTGCTAATTTTTCATTTCAATGCAAATATTTCGCATATATAAATAATTTTTTTTTGGCGCTGAATTAGCAATGGCCAGAAAAATACTGTCGATGATCTAATCGATTTCGACTGGAAGTATAAAATGATATATGTACACAAATGTTTTTAGACAAAAAGAAATCTTGTCGACCAGGGCACGTAGCATTTCCCTTTTTGGTCGTTACTCAATCTAGTTCTTAAGACAGGTAAAAAATGTGGTAAGATAAAGACCTAAAGACCGTTGGCTTAGATAGTTATATCTTTAAAATTAATAGCAATGCAGTCATGGCTAACAACTGAAACGAGTCATTTCGATATTTATAAACGAAATATTCAATAAAAATCGAAATTTCACAACTTCGAATGGAAAGCACAAACTAGAACAACGGATAACTAATCATGATTCTTAACGCTAGACTTGCGAACACATCATGTCTAATTAACAGTTTTACAATCACCGCTCGCTTGGCTTTCCTCTTCTGGAGAATGCTAATGTGGGCCGACTTCCGACTGACTGACTCGATTATCCAAGTATTCGAGTGCCCACAGTGGGCAGTCCACTGCGAGCGGCACTTAAGCTCCTAACCATGTCCAAATTGGGCTGAAAGCACGGAGAAATCCATCAGCGCCGCAGGTTCATGTTTAGCCACTCGTGCAAAATGTATTTTGGCGCATGGAGGAGAAAGACTCATGTAGAAAGGAAGGGAAAGCACATTTTTGCAAATTTGGGAGTGGCTGGATAATGAAAAATTGATATTCTAGAGCTTACAGCTTTTTTTATATGTCAGTATGTAATAGGATGTATATAAATTTTAGCTTAAGTAATAATGAATAGATACACTAAATATTTACATGTAGGTGCAATAATCAGTAAGTGGTGATGTAAAATTAATTGGCCAATTAAACTATTTTAGTCTGCTTTAGATGTTAGATGTTTTATTGATAGCGATGTGAGATTCTGAACATAACAAGTGTAATAAAAAATCGATTTAATTTAAAGCCAAAGTCCAGCATTTTGAATGACTAAGAGAAGCACAGTCCCAGTGCATGATTAACGAGTGATTTTTAATAATAACTAAAGTAATCTGGTGGCGACCAAATTAAAACGAATTAGTCATAGCGAAGCAAATAATTTTACAGCCAAAAGCTGATTAAAAGCGGTGCACTAAGTGAGTATATATATATGTATATACATATATGCACATACATACGTTTGTACAGACATACTAGTACCTATAGAAAGTGCATGGAGCGTTAGACTGAGCTCAGATTGCATGCGAGGCCTTTGCCCCTCATTTTTGTGGTGGGGAAAACGGCAGACGCCCCATATCAGTTTGCGATTTTCAGTGGTAAAGTGTTTTTGTGAATATGCAACAACAGAGTATATGCATCCCAAAACCAAAATTTTAATGTGCTACATACTAACTACCGATTTAAAAGAAACTGCGTGGCATGTGCATTATTAACTGACCATCTTTTACAAGCCGAAATTCAGTTATTGAAAAGTGGTTCTACTATACTGGCCGGCACTGTGCCGCCTGGCGGTATAGTTGGGTTGGCTTAGCATGCGATCCGATTACGGTTACCGCTCACCGCTTCAGTGCAAATCGTTTGGCTGGCGGGTAACTGAACTATATGAAAACGACGGCTAATTGCATTGCGACTGGACTTGCAACCGAATATATGAAAGGGAAGGCAGGGAAGGGGGAGTGCAAAGTGAGGGGCGTGGCAGCAACCCCCATGAGCATTACAGAAAATGAAAATTGTTTGTTAGGCACCCTCCAGGTGAAAGCTGCACCAAACATGAAACTAAACTTTAAAGTGCAGTAGCAAAGTAGAAAATGTAGCTTACATGTATATATTTCAGTAAAAATACAACATTAAGGGAAGAGATTTAGTTAGCTACTATACATATATGTACATATAAGCGTATATTTAACAGCGTTTTGAATGTTATCCACATCGGCATCCCCCAATACATGTAATATTGCCCTAGAAAAGTACTGAGACAATGCAGAGTGGAGCACTCGAAAGGATATGCGGAATAATGTGGCATACTTTCTGGGGCACTGCTTGCAGCAAATGAATACAACAGCAACAGCAACAGCGTACAGCACAAAGCCCGTCATTTGTACTTGTGCTCGTAGGCTCTTAACCAAAGAGGGGAGCAAAACAAAGTCAACAACAATAACAACACAAAAAAGGACAACGGGGGTGGCTCGATGACATCATCATCATAATCATATAAAACGCATATTGACAACCGTTTCGTAGGATTTGTACAGTTACAGTTTTACAGCGCACAGGCTGGGCGGCTAAGCAGCAGAGTCGCGGGCACAGTTTTAGCTGCACTTGACTTACCTTGCGGGTGCAAACGTTCGGGCTTAAACCAGGCATCTGCAAATAGGCGATTGATATATTGATTTTCGTTAGTTTAGCGGTTAGTCGAGGTGCGAAAAGATAATGAAAACAGGAGTGGAAGGAGATGGCGTGCAAAACAAAAACTTAGTGCAAAAGCAGTTAGGCAGAGTTAAGGACCAAGCAGTTGAAGCAGTATTTAAAGTAAAATTTAAAAGCAAAAACAGTTTTAATACAGGAAAGCGTTAAAAACCACTTGTACAACACAGTATACATATATACTATATAGACAAATTATACAATGCTTAAGCTTAAAACTACCACCCAGGCCACCGTTGACAGAGGTTAGTTTTGTTGTTTTTCCAACTTATTTCCCAAATTCGGGGTGAGTTTCGTTTTTTGGGGTATTTCCTTTCATTTTTTTAACTTACTGGGATCGAGTATGGAACAAATCAATGGGCGCTGCTTGCACACGCCATTCTGACCGGTTTCACCAAATGCAGACATTATGCTGTTTTTTTTTTACAATTTGGGTTTGCTTTTTGCTTAGCACACTTCTTCGTTAGCACTACGAGTTATCCTTTCTATTTGGATAGTAACTTTTCCGTTTTATTCGATTGTTTTCGTTGAGCAAAGCGCAGCGCAGCAAGAGAGAGCGGAGAGAACGAACGGGTATTACGACGTTAGGGTATTACGCTATAAGAATTTTCCACTTCCGTGTGGCGGCCTCACGACGCGTATAGAGACTGAAACGTATTGGGAAAAGCTTCGCCGCGAAAAGCAGGCCGGGCGTTTCCCCCACCCCACCCCCCGAAAAGGACAACCCTAGGCTCAGAGCGGCGGCGCCGAGAGAGAGAGAGATGTCTAAGCGGCCCGCTGTGCACACTGCACACTACAGTGAGCCCCCTTGATCGTTAACAAAGCGTGTCCTTTTGTCACTGGAAGTGTTTTAAATTCGCTTCAAGATGCGTCTAAGAGTAAGCCACTGTATTTTAAAAAAAGCTAAAAGCAATGGGAACATGGTTTCCAAAACTGAAAATATTCCAACTCAAGCTTTAACATGTAGTCCTTTAGTTTTCAAAAATTCTAAAATTAGTTTGTGGTAAGAGTTTGCTTGGTCTCCAGCATAGTCGCTACTGTCGCATAGTGTCCACTGTAGTCGCCCGGCCGGGCTGAGTACGATGCGGATGCGGATTGAATGAGAGGGCAACCGCAAGTCTCACCAAGTTGAGCAACCGTGCTTAGCCCTGAACTCGGTGGCTCGGCAGTAGCGTTCGATTTGCCGCCGAGTTTGGGGAAAGCTCGCGAGCTGGGGGGCCATCGATTTCACCTATTGCAGCTGACCCGCTGCCTGGAGAGCAGCGGAGAGTTTTCCGGGCGGAGACTTTTCTTCGCTTTCCGCGCAGCGCATGCGTTGGCTCCTGCAGGACTCGTGTTGTTTTCGTTTGACACCCACCCACCGGATTGGGCCGGAAATTGCCAGACGCTGCAACTTTTGGGTGCGGTGGGTGCAGATGCTGTTGCTATCGCCATCACACATCCCACCCCCATCCCGCAGCCCCCAGCTTGCCCTTTGACCCCGCCCTGCAGTTGCGTGCGGCGCGATAAATGGATGGGAAATCAATGAACTAAGACTCGAAACGCATTTCGCACTTTTCTGGCCATCGGTTGTCTATGCTAGCATTGCTCCGTTTTGCAAAGTTGAATACTTTTGGCCAACGACCAAGTTATGACACGAGTTTTTGACGCATTCCGTATGAGATGTGCTGCCAAAAAGGCAAACTTCCTTGACGGTTTAGCACAGTTCTGTCCGAATGAAATCGATATTTAGCAGGAGCATACGGAAGCATGTTTTCCGGCGCTATTTCAAAAGGAAAATCATACCACAACTTTTGCATTCAGTTTTTTGATACTAATAAATTTGACCTACTTTCTTAGTAGGAGCCAAGTACAAAAATATGGCACTCTTTAAAAAAAAAAGACTATGTCTATGTCTGTTAAATCTCGTAACAAGGTTATTACGAAAGTGAAGCCTATTTTCAGACAGCTATTCACGTAAACTGATACTCGAAAGCAACCATAAGAGCCATGGTTTTTTTTCACTGTAAGAGAAATTCACCTATTCGATGTAATCCACATATCGAGCAATACCCCTGACCAAATTGTTTTTAGGTTAAATTTGACCCACGCACAATAACTTTCCTAATATAGGCAACTCTCCTCCGCTTTTTCCACCGAGCACCATGTGTTCTCCTTTTTGTGGCCCCAAAAAAGCGAATACCCCCCACTTAATCGATCGTTGGCGGCGTGGGAGGCGCAATTAACCAAAAATAATTTAAAAAAAGCACACATTGTTTACTCAGTTCCACTTTTCGGATGTCCGTCTTTCTTTGCCGAGCAACACAACGCGCAAGTAAAATTAAAATAAATTCTAAATCTCCGATCTCCGGTCGGCTGGGAATTGTTATAGTTATAATACACAAATGTGTAAAGTTAAAGTGTGACGATATCGGGAGCTGTCAGTGAACTACAGTTGATTGCAACTGCAACTACGACCATTGGCGATAATGGGGGTGCGATAAGGTGGATGCTAAACCAGAGAGGAAGATGCAATGGAGAAATGCGATTTGGATGCGAGTCCAAAGCGAAATCAATGGCAAATTGGAAGACAAAAGCGCAGCGAAGACAAAAGAACAAGGCACATGTACATATGTACATATGAGTAGCAATGGAATAAAAATAGCCGCATAATCGCACAAAAGGGATGCATTCAGACTGCCAGACAGAGGCGTCGATGAAAATCACTAATTGGAAAATGTTTTTCCGCAGCTTGTGGCCGCCTGCATGCCGTTAAAAACTGGCATTCGCCCCACGGGAGACGAAAATTGAATTATCCGCTGGCTAAATTAGCGCCCTGGCGAAAGGTAGTAGAAATACGAATGTAAACGTGAGATTGACAAATAGTAGCAGACATTACTGCGCAACAATAAATTACTCTGCCGCAAATTGCTTTAATGGACACGAAGCTGAAACACAGAAAGCGGATAAAGAATCGCAATGAAATAAAGCGAAATATGAACGGACATGTGTACGTCAATGGCGGGCTACATATGGCTACATACTCTAGTATGCCCTATATATACAGCCACATAGAGCTTTTGGAATGGAGCAGCTACCGAGCTGGTGAGCCACTGAGCAGCTGATTCACGCCGGTTAAGTATCTCGGTAGTGGTGGAACCAGCTCGAGAATCTTGCCCCTTTCCTATCTACTATACTCGGTGTGATGAGTTGCCCAGTTGGGATTAGTTATGCAATTTACCTTCTTTTCACCTCTATCTATCTGTTCATCTAAGGTGTACCTATCTGCTGTGCGATTCACAGCGCCCTATCTATTTAATTGTCTCTGTTTGCTTTGTTAGACACAGTAAACGTTAAGGTCAACAAACAGTTAAGAATATTATGAAAATTAAAGAATATTATTGAATATAACATACACTATTTCCCGCTGTATATACTTTGCTTTCCCCAAAAGAACCTTCTTCCAATGTATTAGCTGGTTGCCTTTAGCGAACGACCCCTGTATTAACCAGCCACAGTTTTGTTCGTGGCATTCAAATGAGTGTGAATCACGCGGAGACGATCGATTTGCGAAAAATCTATGGAAACTATGAGAAAGCCGGCAAAAAAAAGAACATCGGCTGCAGTTCACATGGAGAATGATTAATGTCAAGGGAAATGGAAAAGTCGACATCAGAAGAGAGTATCTTCTAGGCAATTAAATTTCACCACATTGCGATACAAAAAATACATTTATAAAATAAGAGAGCCCCGCCAAAACCGATGACATCATGAGCAGAGTTGGAGGAAAAAACGACAGAAAAAAAACAAAAAACAAAGTAAGAGAGTGGCGAATGACTAACGCACAACACAAAATCATATAGAAGGGGCAGCAGGCGGAAGGAAAAGGCGTGGGATGCAAGGTGCGCCGCAAGGACACTGGAAACAAACATCGAAATGGTACTCAAATGACGGCGGTGCAATAGAATACTCTAGTGACGACGGGAGCACAACAAATTAATTAGAGCGCAATGATAACGGGTTGACTTAGTGCTATTTGCAGTGGCTAGACTCACCCAATCCGTATTTGCAGAAGATCTCCTCGACGGACGCAATCTTTGGCTGCGGCTGGGTCGATTCAACTGGCGCTGGAACGACCTTCGGCTTGGGCGGCTCCACCTTGGGCTTGGGTGGCTCCGGTTTCGGTTCGACTACGGGTGTGGTGGTGGTGGGTGCCTTGGGCGCGTCCTGGACACTGGGCTTGAACACCACCTCCTCGTCATCCAGATCGGTTATCAAAGCGGTTGTCACGGGTACAGCCACTGGAACCGGCTGGGGTTTGGCAACTGGTACTGGTACTTCTACTGCCACTGGCACTGGCACTGGAGCAGGAGCAGGAGCAGGAACAGCAGGTGGAGCAGCAACGGAAATGGGAGCTGGTATGGGTGCTGGTGCCGGTGCAGGTGCTGAGCGTGGCTCCTCCTTGAAATCGCTGACCAGATCCTCCGATGAGATGAACTTCTCGTTGTCCTGATCCTTAAGGGCATCCACAATGGGTTTCTTGGCCGGCGACGGTGTGTACGAAACGGACGGCGATTCGGTGTCCGAATCCTGATTGGCTTTGGTCACTGGAGCGGCAGGTTCAGCTGGGGCAGAAGTGGCTGGCTTGCCCAGGAAGTCATCCTCCTCATCGTCATAGAAATTTGCCGTGGACGGTGCCGTGGGCTGGAAGGCCTGGAGTGGAGCCGATGGCTGGTCACTGAAGCTGCCCAGGAGGTCCTCCTCGACAGGAGCTGGCACAGCAGGAGTTGGAGCCACAGAAGCTGGAGCCACTGGATCAGGAACCACATGAGCTGGAGCTTGTACTGGAATCGCCGGAGCTTGAGCTACCGTCTCGGAGAATGGAGCCAGGGGCGAGGAGAAGCCCCGCTCGGCATTCATGAAGTCGGTGGTCAGTCCACTGATGCCCTGCTTCACCTCCTTGCCGGCGTCGCGCAAAAAGTCCTCGAAATCATCCGTCTTCTCGGCGAACTTGGCGTCCAAATCAAGTTTGGCGTCCTTGGCGCCGCCGGAGATGCGTTGTACAATCTCCTGCGGATCGCCAAAGTCCAGGTTCTTTTGCTCGTTGGCGAAGTAGTGCTCCGTGTGGGCATTATCGTCCTGGGCGCCACCGCTCACGTTGCCAGCATCGTAGGCCTTTTGTGCCCGTTGAAAGATGTCATCGTTGGTGGCAGCGGCCTCCTTTTTCAGTTCGTCGAACTTCAAATCCATTTTCTCCAGTGTTTTGATTTCCAAATATTCTGCCTCTCTGATCAATCAGAAATTTTCACAGATGTGTTTGGGTATCCTGGCTTTCTGATTGGAACTTCGCACGCACGCTCAGCGGAGATGCTTCACACACACGACGCACCCAAACACACACACACACACACGCACAGGCACCGAGCTACAGCTGATTCGCCGGTTGGAATTAAAATGATTTTTTTTCTTGCCGACTTCACTGCTTTATGGTGACTGGAAGGCCGCAATTCGTAGGGTTTTGTGCTCGGGAACGTTAAATTTGGTTTGAGCAACAGCGACTTTTTACAGGCGCCGTCGATGCAGACGTTTGAAAAGTTTCAATGGACCTGCGCTAGAGGTGGCACACTGGCCGATACTATCGATTACGCGCACTGTATAATTGCCTAAAAATAGCCAAATGCCCTGATCAGCTGTGTTTCGAACCAAAGCGAATATTTAGCAGTGACATTAACCTAACAGCTCTGGTATATTAATCTAGCATTAATGCTAAACATATTTGGATTTCCAGAAACTTCGCATAATTCATTTATGTCTAATGTTTGATTTATTTGTAAACATAACAACCATGTTCAGGCGGTCCACTTGAGGCATCGCGTGTCCTGGTGCGTATTCAGGCACCTAACGCTGCAGTATCGCGTCCCGCAGGCGGTGCACGAGTACAAAGAGAAGTTGCCGCAAACGGCGCAGAAATGCCGCAAAGGCTTTTGCGGAGCCGGCGCCGCGGCGCTCTCGTAGTTGGGCTGCTTGTCCTTATCCTCCTCGAGCAGCTGCTGGAAGTTCTTGCGATACTTAGCGCGAAAGTATTCGGCGCCCTTGCGCTTGCCTTTCTTCTCCTTGGCAGTCTTCAGGTTGTCCTGGAATTTGGGCAACTTCTTCGACATGACGAGGTCTGCGTGTGGGTCATCGTGGAAATTGTCCTGTTCCAGGGCCTCCAAGGCTTTGCGCGCTCGCCTCTGGCGGGATGTGGAGTCGAGGACACGCTTCTTCTCAGCGTCCTTGATGCGGTTAGATTCTCGACCTGTCATGGTTGTTTTGGGCTTCTACTTTTGACTATTAGTTTTTGTGGTTGATTTTTTTAGGCGTCCTTGTCGTGCAACGGAAAGCTTATCCGATCCATCAAATCGTCCACTCGCGCCTGCAGCACTTCCACAATGTCCGTGGAGATAAACAAATGGTTTTCGTCCAGATCCTGGATAATGAATTTGCGACCCAGAGCCAGTTTCTCGTCCAAGTGCAGCAGGAATTGTTTCATAGCAGGATCACTAAGGGAAACGGTTTAAATATAGCAACACAAACGTCTAAGCTTCCACTTACCACTCCACCAGCACTCCTTTCATAACATTTACCATGTTGCCAGCATTTGCTTGCCGAAAATAATAAACAATTTCTTCAATTCTTAGGGATGCATGACAATCACAGTGAAGCGTAAATTAGAGCTGGCAATCGGGAGCCTCTAATATCGATATTTCGAGGATTTTAATTAACCTGGCTATCGAAGCTTAGTAATTATTGCACCCGCCTAATATTACTTATTTTAGTATGGCGACATAATTTTATTTTAAATTATCTAAGAAATGTATTTTAAGACATTTTGTTTTTATCCAACGCATAAATTAAATATTTTAAGATTGTTTAACCAGCGAAAGTTCCTTGCGAAAAAACAAAGCTGTTTTGCCAGTCCTATCAGTGCCACTCACAACAAAACGTAGACAGCAGTAGCGGAGTATTTGCCAGTCACACGGACAAACACTAAGGCAAAAGTGTGAGCAAATATTGAATTCCAAATTAAATTCGAATTATATCAGGCCAAAAGCACTCAATGGACGCTCTGAACGGAAGGAACGTGGCACTGCTGGTGCTTTGCCTGTGCGCCGGCTACGCCCTGGTGTTCGCCGAAGGCGAAAAGGAAATACCGGTCACCAAGTTCGGCCAGAACATAGCGCCGACGATGACTTTCCTTTACTGGTGCGTTATATGCGGGGCAATTAACATAATAGATAACGATGACCTATGTTTCTCCCTTTTGATCCGCCAAATAGCTACTCCTGCGGATATCGCAAGGCGTTCGAGGATTACGTTCGCCTGCTGGACGAGAAGTATCCACAGATTCAGGTCCATGGCGGCAACTACGATCCGCCGGGTCTGAACTATTACCTCTCCAAGATGATATTTGCATTGAAGATCATCATCATTGTGTCCGTGGTCAGTGCGGTCAGTCCGTTCACTTTCCTTGGCCTGAACACGCCCAGTTGGTGGGCTCACCTGCAGGCGAACAAATTATACGCCTGCATGATGATTTTTTTCCTGGGCAACATGCTCGAGGGCCAGCTCATCTCGTCAGGCGCTTTTGAGATTACACTGAATGATGTGCCCGTGTGGTCGAAACTGCAGACGGGACGCTTTCCATCGCCGGAGGTCCTCTTTCAGATCATCGATAACCATTTGCAGTTCACCGAAAAGGTGCAGGAGAATCCGGACTTTGTTAAATAATAGCATTGGACGGACTGGCGGGCGGAGCGGAAGCAGCAGTTGGACAACACCAAAACAGCCGCGGGCATCGATTCCCGGTTCTGAACCTATCTTAAACATAAGCTCCTTGTTCCGATATTATCCACTTAGCTGTATTTCTGTTTTCAACCTAACTCTAGCCCACTCTACGCATCCTATATCCTTGTATTCCGTGTAAATGCTTAGGGAACTGTATGTGTTCTTTGTGTTGAGCGGCAGGATGGCGATTAGAAACCGAACGGAGACGACCGGGGTACATCTGGAGATTCATTGCCTGCCTCTATAAAGATGTACCTTGTCCAAAGCCTTTATGCGATTGTGTATTCATTAACTGTTAGTGGGGGGAACAATTACTTATAAACGGATGTGTAAAACCTTTTTCAAATTGTAATACAATAAAAAATTCACTGGACAATTTCAAATGCGAACGAAATAGCATTTTACCGGAGAGGGTACAAAGTTCCCATACATTTGCAATCAAACAAAATTTCTTGTGCATTAGTTTTATGTGTTGTAAATTTTATTTATCAAAAAACTGGGCTTTGTTTTTGGTTTTGTTACGTTTACAATAATCCCAACAGGGGCTCCAGATTTACTTTCGTTGCAGTGGAGGCAGTGATTACTCTTCTCGACCCCTCTTCCATAATTATATTTGGTATGTGGCATATGGTTTTAGCTTTTAGGTGTCCACGTAATTAGATTACATCTCCACGGAAAATGGCACTGTTCAGTGGTTGAAGTTTGTTTGTTTGGTACTCGAGTTGGGGTTTGGATCGTTATCGTTTCCTGGATAGGATAGCAAATGACTTAAGACAAATATTTAACTGCTACTTAGTTCGAATTGCAATCTAGGGGGCGGTGGTGTCCTCGCGGGGGCGTCGGTTGTACTGGCGGTTATTGCCTCCATGGCGAGCATACTCATTGAAGGTGTGCAGGTTGCTCGGGCGAACCCTTTGCTGGTACCTTCCGTTCAAATAGTTTGATGGGGCGCGAGAGCGTGTATCTGAGCTCCAAGAGGAGCCTGTGGACCAGGCGTTGGATCCTGGATTGGAACGTGCACTGGAGCCCGGATTGGAACCTGCATTTGAGCCAGTGGACCAGCTAGAGTAAGATCCCGGATTGGAGCCTGACTCTGCTACGGGTCCGGAAGACCAGCTAGATCCAGCATTGGGCCTCGATTGCCAACTGGCGTTGGATTCGGAGATAGAACCGGGATTGGACTGGGAGCCAGCACTGGAAGCCCGGCCGGCTGTCCAGCCTGACCTACGATCGAAATCTGTGTTCGGAAATGAAGGATAAGCTGTGCCCGAAGACGATCTTGAGGACCAGCTGGGAGAAATTCTCGAGGCAGAACCACTGCTTGAACCGGAAGACGCATATTCCTTGGAATATGCACTCCGAGCCACAAGGCTGTTACCTTGACGACGGCAAACCGTGCACCTAGAAAATTATTTCATTATTTATATGCATATGTATGCAGCCTGAGCAACCTCATTAGCTCAAGTAACACACCTGCTAATCTTGCTGGTCAAATCCGCCTTGAGCGTCTGTTGGCGCGGCTGTACAAACTGATCCTGCTCCTCGATGACGGTTAACCAGAAGGAGGCCAGTGCATCGTAGTAGTTGCACCGTCCATGGCCATGGCACTCAATCACCGGCTGGGCGCGGAACTCCTCCAAGCAAGAGCCCGGGGAGACGAGGTTCTGTCCAACGCCTCCGACATTGTCCAGCGTGCTCTGAAATTTTGGATAACAGTGGGTTAACGTAAGATTCTCAATTCTGAGAGTAGTAACCTACCATGAAGTAACTGTAGCCGGTCCACATTTCTTCCCAGCCGCCGGGGCAGTCCGGAATGGACATGGATTGCGAGTGGAGGGCAATAATCCTGGTCGCCGTCTCGCACACAACGCACCTAGGGGAAACACATGGCAATAGTCAGGGGATTCCAGGGGAGGAAGGAATTGGCACTTACCGCGAGATGTACTTTATGAGGTCCCTGCCCTGGATGGGCGCCATGGTCATTGACATCGGCTCGGCGGTGGAAAGCCAGAGACTGTCGTCGTTGTTCTGAGCAAAGTGGCAGACGTTGGTAAAATCGCACAGCATGTACGGCATGGTGGTGAACCTCATCAAGCAGGAACCGGCCTGACCTAGATCCTGACCCACTGCTTTGCTGGCGGCCACGTTGCCGGACAGTGAGTAGCCCTCCCAGAGCAGATTCGTGTTGGCAGGACACTGGGGCACGTGAACGGACTGCGAGTGGCGGGCGAAGATGAATCCGCGGCTCTTGGGCGCCGGCGGCGCTGGCGCTGGGTCACCTTGCGGTCCGGGAGGACCAGCCTGGCCGGGGGCTCCGGTCACGCCCATATAACCCTTGTCACCACGTAGTCCTTGCGGTCCATCGGCGCCGGTGTAGCCCACCTCGCCCTGGTCACCGCGATATCCGAAATCACCTCTCCGTCCCTGTAATCCTAATAGTCCTAGTGCGCCGGCTTCACCTTCCTCGCCCTGGAATCCATCAAGTCCGGGCTCGCCGCGATCTCCTGGTCGGGCCATGGAGTAGGAGTAAGTTACACCTGGTTGACCCTTGGGGCCGACGAGTCCGTCCATGCCATCAATTCCACTCCAGCCGGCGTCGCCAGTGTCTCCCCGTGGTCCTGGGGCACCAACCCGTCCGTTTTTACCCGAAAGTCCGGGGTATCCTTGCTCACCCTTTGCGCCATCCCAGCCTGGTTCGCCCTGGAAGCCGATATCTCCGATGTCGCCCTGTCTGCCAACAATCGCATATCCAGATTCACCGCGCTCACCCTGCCGACCCATGTCGCCAAGCTCTCCTTTTGGTCCAATAAGTCCATGACGACCATTGCGTCCTGGTGCTCCCGTAAAGCCGACATCGCCCCGTGGTCCAGGGGGCCCCTGGATCGCGGGTCCCTTGTGTCCGCTCGGACCGTTGGCTCCATTCTCACCCGCTGGTCCTGGTGCTCCCTTCTGTCCAGGGTAGCCGTGACGACCTGGGCGTCCGTCGAGTCCAGCAACACCCTCTTCACCTCTCTCCGCCGGCATTGTTATGCCCGGAGCACCTCGAGGTCCTTGGTCACCCGGGAAACCCTTAGGGCCGTTTGCTCCATCGAATCCAAGTTTTCCAGCGTAGCCAATGTCACCGCGTTCGCCCTTGGCGCCGGGAGCGCCAATAAAGCCAATTGGTCCCGTGTCACCCTGCTCGCCACGTTCACCATGTAATCCTCGATCTCCGGTGTAGCCACGATGGGAGCTCCAATCTGTCGGCTCCACTCTACCCGGGAGGCCGACTTCTCCTTCGTCGCCCTGCTCACCCTGCTCTCCCCGCTCACCAAAACTGCCGCGTGGTCCTTGATCACCAATCACACCAGTTGGTCCATCCAGGCCCACAACTCCTCTCTCACCCTGCGGACCTTTGGGTCCCTTGGCTCCAGTAAAGCCAGTGGCGCCCTTCAGGCCGTGAGCTCCGTTGCGTCCAGGATAGCCATTCAATCCAATGGCTCCTGGCTCTCCTGGTCTGCCCTGTTGGCCGGCGAATCCGCGATCTCCTCGCTGTCCCTTTAGTCCATAGCGACCGGGAAGTCCATTGGGTCCAGGACTGCCCACTTCTCCCTTGCGGCCAACAATTCCATCAAGGGCCGGTTGTGAATCTCCAACGGGTCCAGGCTGTCCCTTTGCTCCGGGAGCTCCTGGATATCCGACGGGTCCGGTCAAGCCGGATTCTCCACTATCACCCTTAATGCCACTGTATGCGGCCCCGCCTTTCGCGCCTGTACGTCCTGGGTATCCAGCCTCTCCCGGCTCACCCTTGCGTCCGGGATAACCGTTAGCTCCGGGATAGCCATCCGGTCCATTATCACCGGAGAGACCTAAAGAATAGTAGGTACCGTATTTTATAGACTGGTTTATAGGATAGCTGATAAGCTATGATTAGACAAAGAGAGCAACCTCTTTTATATGTAATATATTTAGTCCAGATATCCGCTCACCTTTAGGTCCGAAGCTGCCATTGGGTCCACGAGGACCGATGTCCCCCTGCCGTCCGGTCAATCCAACTTCACCACGCTCTCCAGCCTCGCCAATCGTACCTCGAAGTCCGGGTATGCCAGGACTACCGGGCAGGCCCTGCAGACCCGCACTTCCGAGTAGTCCACGGCGGCCAGAGAAGCCGATGTTGCCCTTGGCCCCGTTCTGTCCATTCTGTCCCAGCGAGCCCACTTCTCCCTTCTGGCCCTTGATTCCGTGCGGTGCCTGGCCACCATTGCGTCCAGGCTGACCCTTTGGTCCGGGCAGACCAACCTGGAAGTCACCTCGCTGGCCCTTGTTACCAGGCAGTCCTTTTTGTCCTTCTGCGCCATCTGGTCCCTGCCCACCCTTCTCTCCCTTGGGTCCTGGACGGCCGGAGTGTCCGTACTGCCCGGGTGCGCCGACATCACCAGGTAAGCCCTTAATGCCTGATAGACCGGGCGGTCCAATTTCTCCCTGAATCACCTCCTGACCAGGTACACCGCGTTGGCCCTTGTATCCAGGGCCGCCATCCAAACCAGGTTGACCTTCCTGACCGGGTAATCCGGCAGCTCCCTGCGGTCCGTAATCGCCAGTTGGGCCGGGATAACCCTTGGCACCAACGGGTCCAGGAATAACTTGACCAACCGGTCCACGGTCACCAGTTTCGCCGCGAAGTCCAATAGCTCCTTGCTGTCCCTTGGCTCCCTTTACGCCCTTCGGACCGGTATAACCATCCTCACCAGGAGCACCAGTTCTGTCGTAGATCGGACCCGGATTCGGCTCACCCTTGACGCCCTTGAAACCGGTGTCACCATCGGCACCGCGCTCTCCCTTAAATCCGTTATATCCCGGCTCGCCGATCAAGTAGATAATAGGAGTGGTGTTATTCCTTCCGGGAGCTCCATCAATACCATCGCGTCCTGGCACGCCATCGCGTCCCGGGAAACCGGCATCGCCATAGTCGCCGCGCTGTCCGGTTTCTCCGCGCTCACCCTTGCTACCAACATCTCCATCTCGACCCTTGACACCATCGTCACCTTGCTCTCCACGACGTCCGCTCTCGCCGTCTTCACCTGTTGCGCCCTTCTGCAAAGAGCCAATGGTTTGCACCACTCCCCTGGGTCCGGGTGCTCCGACTTTGCCTGGCTCGCCGGGAATACCCGGTGGACCGGGCAGACCTTTGTGACCAGCCCTTCCGGGATTTCCCTGCAAACCCTTTGGGCCACGAACTCCCATGAGGCCCATAGCTCCGCGGTTTCCATGGTCACCCGAAAAGCCGGTGTTGCCCTCCTGACCACGGGGTCCTCGGGGTCCAGCATTGCACACGGGGCAGTCGTCACCGCGTAATCCCTTGTCACCAGGCTGTCCACGTAATCCATTTACACCATCGTCACCGGGAAGTCCACGGGAACCGGGCGGTCCCTGGGATCCGGGAGGTCCAACGATATTATAGCCCTCGCCGGGCAGACCCTTGTCTCCGGGCAAGCCGACTTCTCCGCGATCACCGCGATATCCCCCCAAACCGTCTTCACCGTTCTGGCCAGCCTCGCCCTTGGGTCCGACCTCATTTTGTCCGGGTTCTCCGTGCAAGCCGTATCGTCCGGGAAGACCAGCTTCGCCGGGAGGACCCTGCGGTCCCGGGGGACCAATGAATCCATAATCTCCAGCCTCACCGCGTTCACTACGTCCAGGCGGTCCGCGTTTGCCATTCAAGCCGGGGTCTCCTGACTGACCAGCTGGACCGGTGGGTCCACGACGTCCCTGTTTGCCGGGCAGACCTGGTAGACCCTGCTCTCCGGGCTCTCCGATGTCGCCCTGCGATCCAATCGGTCCGGGAAGCGATTGACTCAGACTGGGATCGTAAATTCCGGGGGGACCAGCGCGTCCTTGAACACCGGGCATGCCAGGGAATCCATCCGTTCCGCGCTCTCCTGGGCTTCCGTCCAATCCATCAGCTCCAGTCCAGCCGGGCGCACCCTTCATGCCCTTGTCTCCAAATCGACCGGGCTCACCATCCTTACCGGGCTTTCCGCGCTCTCCGGGTCCTCCGATCTCACCTCTTGCACCCGGCAGTCCATTGCGGCCGATGGCGCCCCGTTCGCCGGTCTGTCCCTGTGGCCCCTCATCGCCTTGGAGTCCCACGTATCCCTTGTAGCCCTTTAGGGTGTCGTCTGGCTTCAAAACTCCCGACAGGCTGTCTCCTGGCTCACCCTTGGCACCAGGTGGTCCAATCAGTGAGTATGGCAGCTCCGAAACGTCACCAGTGTCGCCCTTGGGTCCCGGCAGTCCCGGGTCTCCCTTCTCGCCGTTTAGGCCAGCGTATCCAGTGTCACCCTTGCTACCGCGATCGCCATCGAATCCAAACGGACCCGGACTGCCTGCCTGTCCGGTCTCGCCGCGATTACCCTTGGTGCCCTTGGAGTTGATGCCGCCCTCGCCAGCCTCACCGGGAGGACCCTGCTGACCGGGCTTTCCCGGCGGACCGCGAACTCCGTTAATGCCGGGTGCTCCGCTTGGACCCTGCAGACCAGGCCGTCCGTCGCAGCCATCGATTCCACGGGGTCCTGGTGTTCCAGGCTCACCGCTTTTACCCTAGATGACCAGAAGGTAATGGAAATGATTACTATTTGTCTTGTGGCAAATGAAGAATATATCCATGAAATACATTAATAACTCACCAATATGCCAGGGTAACCCATTTCACCTTTAGGTCCGATATCGCCCTGCAAATATATTTATCATGCATAAGTCATACATCATTTAAGGACACAATGCCACTGATTTCTTACGCGATGTCCTTTCTCGCCTTGTTCGCCATACTCGCCGACGTCTCCTTTCTCGCCGAGTGGTCCTGGTGGTCCATTTGGGCCTATATCACCGGCAGGTCCTTCCAAGCCGGGAACACCAATGAGTCCTGGGGCACCCATACGTCCCTTGATTCCTTTGCAATCGCATATCGTTGTATTACAGATCTGAAATCCAGAATACATATGTACATATATATTATATAGTGACTCGCACATGTTGCAGGGCAGCCCAAGGAATATGGAAGCAGGCTTGATTGCCCCTGATTGAAACCCCCATTTGGGCAATCGAAGATGTCACAATCAATTCGTTTTCTATGGCTTGTGCCATTTGCTAATGGCGCAAACTAGGAACTAGCTGGATGCTGACCAAATCTATATAAATAAATTTAAACTTAGCTAGCTTTCAGCTTATACTGGACATGACTTGAGCATAAACTTGGGTATAAGTGTAGTTTAGCACTTATATATCAGTTTTTTGGTGCACATACCACTTCAAGTTGAAGTCTGTAAAGTGGACTATTTGCCTTGCTGTACAATCTTGTTGAAATTATACGGAAATGACCTTTGCCTTTATAGGGTTTCTGCTGGATGGATTTGTGAAAATTCCTTTGCATAGTCATTTGCAAAAGTCAAACGAAATCTGGAAATCTGGGGCCGCCTTAGCCAGAAAATCAACAATAATAAGTAGAGCTGCAACATTTTTCAGCTGCAGTTCGCAGCTTTAATTGCACAGTTTCCGTTTGCAATGAGATAATCTTCTATATGAGTACGTTTACTTTTGCCCAGTCAATTGAGCGAGTGCATAGAACACGCTCACTGGACCTCGGAATGAAGTTGAGGGTATTCAGAAGTGAAAATGTGGCAAATGGGCGGGGGAAACCGCTGGAAAATGCTGCAAATGCTGGGAAATGCTGGGAAATGCTATCCACATGCAGCGCATTTTTAACCCATTTAATGTGCATTTATTTATAAACAACAAGAGCGATTCGGTAAAAAGCGATTATCTGGAATATCTCCCATTATGAAATCACTTTGAAATCCCATTTTTGAGGTAGGTTGAAGAAGTGGCAGAGACACACCTATGTACGCGGATTTATTTGCACATTGGTTGCGGCTTCCTCATTCATGTCAGCATAAACATCCTTAGTTGTATTTAACGTATTTATAGAATTGACATAATTTCAAATTTCATGTTGGTTAATTTTTGTTGGCCCGAATTTATGACCGCCTTCATTAATTTGGAATTTCAGTGGTCGTTCAAGCTTTCCGCCGACAGTTCCTCCAAAAAACCATTTCAAGATGAAGAAAAAACTGCACACATGTTGCACGCATGTGTCGACGTTCTTTGCGTAAAATCTCAAACATTTTTGCATACGAAATTTGTTGTTTAATTGTCTGCTGCCTGGATGAATTAGTGTCAAATGTTTGGCAAATTCTGTTCTGGATTTACAAACACCTCCGCCGACTGGAGACTTATGGCCAAAATGCAAGCGACATCAGCAGAGTTCAAAGCCCCGGAAGATCGCACTCTATTCGATTCCCAGAAGGGAATCTGTTCGCAGGAGATCAAACCATCTGTTAACTAAATATTCACATCACCAAATCCCGACACGAGAACTCCAAAGGTAAACAACACCGCACACTGAAAGCTGAAAAGCTAGAAAAAAACTAGAAGAAAAATAAAAGACTGTGCCACTGCGGTGAACCAAAAGATGTTGTTCTCCCCGGGCGAGCCAATGAACAAAAATCCGAGAAAATGCAGATACCAAAATAAAAACCAATTTTCCCCCCTCCGGAAAATTTTCTGCGGCTGCAGGTGCACCAAAGCAATTGCACTCGATTGCTGGAAATGAGAAGCATCTCACCAACTGGGAGAATCATCATAATATGTGGGGGTGTACCCAGTCCCATAATATTCGAGCATTACCACATATTTCGATCAGTTCTGGGTCCCATTCAAGTCTTTGGTTTCACAGCACACATTCCTTCAATCGAAATAAGTGCAAGAGAAACCGAAAATATCCAAAGGCGACACCATCGAATTTCATTCAATCAATTTGCCAAATCTGAAACCCAAGGAATCCTTCTCGCATAACACACATAAAGCCATATTATATATCTGTGAAGATATGTACGAGTATATTGGCCAGCAAATGTATGTCAAACTGTGGAAATTGTTGCGGTAACACGTTCAAAAGTGACAGCACTGCAATTTCCTTGAACTTGACACTGGGCCACATATGCTACATATAGCATACTATATGCTGTATGCTACATGAACGTTGTGCCCGTCCACATATATGGGCCACTTTTTTTTGGATTTTTTTTTGTTCTTCGGTTGGCAGACGGAAGACGCACTACTAAGTGGCGTCGTCGAGGAGGCGAAACCACTTGAAATCGAGGGAATGGGAGGGGCTATCTGCTGTTCCGATGGCTATTGCACTGTGCGCTCTTCTTTCACATATGTACTAATGCATACCCGTACGATACCCTCGATTCCGCCGATGTCAGCAGTGGAGGCAGTGACTGGGAATATTCGCCAAACTAATAACAAAATTCCTCAATGGGCACGCGTGTCTGCGCGAAGTTGGCTTACCACGTGTTGGGCGTCCCCACTTATAAAGCGAGAGTGCTGGAGAGGATTTGGGAATTTCAGGTGGAATATGGGGTGTGCTTAGTCGAAAGAACCCACTCTCGTTTTTGTCCCTTGGGTGATACAATCAGTTACGCCACTGTGTCTGACCAAATCGGCGGACTATGTGCGGACTATATGTCGACTTAAAGATGCGATTCTCTGCGAGTGGCGCGCACTTAAGCGCATTTACACATGTTAATGCCAATTGCGCCAGTTGCCCGTCCATCCAAGCATTCAAACCATGGTTTAAGGTCAGCGCGAGGCCGCCACACGGATATATCTTGATATCTGGCATATATCTGAGGCGACAATTGGGCACACCCACCCACGCTAATCGCTTGCCGGGCGGAAAGCTACACAAATGACGAGCGCTCCGGCTGCAGCGTAATGCATCTGAGCAACCAAGTTTATTGGCCCGACACGTTCTGGATATATGTATGTATCTGACACACATACGTGTATGTATGTATGTGCAAGTATCTGCAGTCTGTGGTCCTGGGTATCTGATGACAATCCTCGGGTGCCAACTTTTCGCCTTTTCGCCGAACTGTAAGCGATACTACCTTAAACTCTGGCCACCAATTCTACGGACTGCAATTATTCAGGGAATGCAAAGCGCAGCGAAATGTCTTCGAAAGAGATGAAGCCACTTGGGGGACAGAGATGGAGGGCTTGAGAAAGAGAGGGAGACAGGGAGACAGGGAGAGAAGGAGAGAGGCGTCTGGTAATCTGGGTCTCAAAGTTGGTGGCCTGCTACGCCCGGATGTGGCATACAAAAAAAAAGAAACAATAATTATAATTATCAGAATGTCATATACAAATTACGGCTGATAAGACTGGACACAGTTTCAGGACGGGAGAGCGGATTTAATTAATATATTTCAAATTTAGCATTAAATTATATTTCATACACATGTGCGAGTATACCCTACACTCGTTTGACATTTATTCGTATTCTTTCTCGAGCTCTTGAGGACAAAGGGGTTATCTGTCGCAGACTTCAATGTGAGCTCTTTGTTGCCAAGGAAGACTGTCAAAGAGAGGATACTATTAACTATTGCTCATGCGATCTAAGACTTTAGGTTGTTAGATATACAATGCTTAGAAATTTCTATCTTGTCGACGCACTTTTCAAGCCCGAGACCAAGACTCCGATGCATCTATCGAGGATCCTTTTGTGCGTCACAGTTGACCCAATTTTCCCCGTCAGACAACACGCGCCATCAATCAACCGCATTTTCATTTTCACATTTATATGGCCCACGAAATGGAGTGGGAATTTCGCACCATCAACAATAGCAACAACAAATCTGTTGTTGAATGTGCATCATAAACGTTTGGAACACTGCACACATGCAACAATGAAAGGCATTCGAATGAAGGTATTAGACGCAGGAGTACTAAGTAAAATTTAAAATCTAAATTCTTTATTATTTCACTTAAGTAATTCTTTTATATCATTGGCAAATTGGGAAACCTAAATTACAAGCCCATTAGAAAATCACAAACTAACTTCAAATAGTTGGCGACATCCCACAAATGCATTTTATTGACCATTCAACCTAGTGGCTCATTGCAAAAGTACCAGATTCATGGCAATGCATGCGCGCCAGTTGGCATAAAAACGCCTGATTTGGGGCACAACTACAGGGTAGCAGTAAAAAAACGTATATGGGCCAACATATGAGCAGCGTGTGATTGACATGAAAAGGCAACCCCCGCACATACTCACACTAACATTCATGTGGAGCATAGTATAATGGATGCACATCTGGACGGGCGCACTTGCAGCATGACATCATTTTGCTCCGGCTTGACATTAAGTCAACATGTGGAAGAGACGCAGAAGAATCTGCACTCCCACTGGCACATGGAGAACACCCACGCACTCCGTGCGCCTGGACCTACTGGACCAGTTGGACCTACTTGAGTGCCCGGTTACGGCATCATGGCGCATAATTGTTTGGACACAAGCCTGACAGATGATAACTAATTGCCGTGCACTCAAATTAACATTGAAATTGATGGACAGCGCGCTGTCACAACTGAATATTCGCAACGATCGTCAATAAAGTGGCGATAAGGAAGCGCCAAGTGATTGAATCGCCTCTGGAGTGGCACCTGCCCCGGAATCTAGGTATTCCTAGGAGTCCGAGTTGCGAACTGATCAAATATCTGGCGAAAACTATCTTGGGTCCTTGTATCAAAGCAACTTACCAGATTGGAAAACTAAAGTGTTTTCTATTAAAAATTTGTTGAAAATCATAAGTCATTCCATATGCACCCCTTATCGTTCGAATTTCTCCTCAATTAAATTTCACCCAGTTATAAATCGTTTGAAATCATCAACCCATCGGTTGACCATATCAATGGCTTGCAAATTATTCAGGCAATCAAAGCACTAGAAAGTTAACCAAGCAAATTAAGCAGAATTTATTTTTAGCCATGACAGTAGATGTCTGCCTTCTGAAATGGAATCTCAGCATACATTGTATATATGCCATATAGTGTCTAAATATATGTATAGAATTTCAAATGCTCAGATGAATATCAATTTCATGAGCCCGTACGGACTGATAAGGCGGCAAAAAGGAGAACAACGAGCTGTAGTTATGAGACAGATGACTGATAACCTAATTTCACTAGCTTCGCTCATAAATAATCGTTTCAATTTACGAAATTCATTACAAAGGCGGCTACTAAGTGGTCCCTGTCCATATCACTCATACGACATGTTGTCCATATCGCGCACACACACACACACACACACACAGTGAGAGAGAGACTTCGCATAATTTCCGCATTCAGTTGCAGATAAATAAATAATTGAGTCAAATTGAAATGCAACTCGCCAAACAATTCAGCTCAAGCACGCAAATAAACTTCCACAAGGAGTCCAACAATGAGATGATGATCATTGTTGTCCGACCCGCTGCCCCTCTCCCTTTTTTCTTGGGCGGTCTCCAGTCGGATCCCCTCTTCCAGCTGGTCCCCATCCCATCCCCATCCCCATTTGGCCCCGCTCTGTCTGGCCGGCGGTGGTCAGTGATTTATGCCAGCATCATCGAATCCCTTCGGACCAGGATCGTTCATAAACAAAAACCCAAGGAGAGCGAAACTGAGGACTGAAAGGGAGATGCACCGTAAGAAATAGCTGCGTGGAAAGTAGTCAAAACTACAGTTCATACTAAGATCCTAATTTTATAATTCGATATTGTATGAAATTGTACAAATTAAATGTAGAAATGACGAATGTTATGAAAAGTCGAATATATGTAAGTCTAAAATCTCTCGTCCTCTTAAAGATTTATATGAAAATAAAGCAAAATACAACATTTTGAAATTCACGGTATATTTCAAAGATTTAAAGTAATTTATTTATTTGGTAATTTTCAGTAAGTAGCTACGATTTTTTCTAAGTGCACTATTGAAGTTTCTAAGACTTTGGACAGCAACAGCAGCCGCCGCAGAAGCAACAAAACAACAAACAGCCAAGAACTTTCAATTCCAATTTGAAATGGTGCAGAACGTCAAAAGATTGCCGCCTCCCCACCCCCTGCAGCTGCCCTCCTGGCAACCCTTCTTTTCAGTAAATCTCTAAGAGAGCCCCTCACCGATCACTTGAGCTGCTGCTAATTGTCGGAATCGAGCTGCACACACCCACACACACACTCACAAACTAGTGCTGGAGAACACTTATTCACAGGCAATAACGGCATTTCCATACATGTACACGTATTTATAGCTGGACAAGTGCAGTAGAAAAGAGAAGGGGTATGGGTGCGTGGGGGAGAGCGGGGGTGGTGAAGTGGGGAGAGCGACTGATAAAGACCATTTATCAAAATTCATTCATGGAAAGCCTCAGCTGCATCTGCAATCGATGAGTTCATCTCTCTCTCTCATTTGCTCTTCGATTGAAGCAGCTCTTAAGCGATCGGTTTCTCTTTTCGTGGAACGGAAAAGGAAATCATTTGTTCGGTTAATGAAGCTCCAAACTGGTTGCAAAACCCATTGCGGGAACAGTTTTAGAGCCACTGCGGGATAGCTGTTAACTGTTTAGAAAGTATTTTCAAATGATGCTGGTATAAATACCCTTAAAAATAAAAATTCGATATTTACATGATAAATACAATACAACATTTGAAACAAAATTGGTTAAACGACTTAATATTTTGATTACTTGTAAATTATTTGTAAAAAGAAAGTTTAAATTAGTTACACTCATTTTATGTATTCTATGTAAATTATTAAAAATAAGGAAACCAAGTAGATAATGCACATCAAATATTTGCTTATAGCTTGTACATAATGCATAGATTGCGCACATACAATGTGTGTTTTTAATAACGCTCTAATCAAAGCTAGTTCTGGCGAAAAATGTAAGTCCCAATTGCATTCAGATTAACTTAATGCACACATGCTTATAATATATTTAATATATTTTTTCAAACACTGTAGTAAAATCAACTTTTCTATAAGCCCTAATTTTTCGTGAGGGTAACCGGAGCAACGGTAGCTAAGCGAAGTCAAGTTTTTCAGCGTTTTGCGGTTAGTCTTCCATTGGCAACCCACAAGACCTGGAGACCTGGTAGCTCTCACTCGGAATCGGGGAGTTAGGGTCCCAAGCCCATGGCATTGACCACGTAACCGAGTGCGAAAAGAGCTGGGCATCGTATTACCAAAGTAGTCAGACGAGCTGCACACACTTATGATGGCAAACACGTGAGCGATGAGGCCAGATTTCCAGATCCCAGCAAATTGAGTACACGAATTGTGTATTGAGAAAACTGCTAAACTAAGCTGAACTAAACTCTGATCTCTGGTAAAGGCAATAAGTCAAGCCAAGCCGATAGCCTCTGCGACACTTGTTTCAATTCTAATGTGTATTTATTCTAAATTCGAGTCTAGAAAGCCATGTCGCAATCAGCGGACATGCTATCAATGGCGTCAATGCCGCCAACATAGCAATAGGTCTAATTAAATGTGTAGATCAGCGGGCAGTAGCCCAGTCGCAGCCTGATAAGGCCGGAACGCCATCAAAAAGTAGATGCCGCCGGCATGTGCTCCATTTTTCATCCAGCCTTATGAAATCTCTGCGATCCATAACCATCTAAATATCAATGTACAAATAATTTGGTATATGTGCAAGGTACTCTATTGGGAAACTCAGCGCTAAAAAGTAGTGCATAGTTTTTGGGGCAACAGCTTTGCACTTGTGTCGAATCATATCTCCTAATGAAATCCGTTTCCTATTTTGTAAAAATCCGAATAATCTATTAAATTGTTTTATTAACCAGGAACCTACGCATTATTTCTGTGCTTTTCATTATCATTCCCGTTTCATTTAACAAATGATTATAAACCAATTATGCGACTAATCTCGCAGTTATTAAATATAATTTTAATTGCCAGCCGGAAATGGCCAAAAAAGAAATGTCCTCCAAACGTAAAGATTAGGGGGTTATCAATGAGCGTTATCGCCAACCTCTTCACCTAAAACATTATGTTGCCAAAATTATTTAGTGACATAATCGATTCCAAGCTGGACTTGGACTCCAGTGAACCCCCAGAATCGGGAACGAGCTGAATGGAATTATCTGTCGAAGCCAAAGAGTTGTAACTACGCGATGTTTTCATGCCGGAAGTGTGAATGAATCAAAGAGTGCATTGCTGCAGAATAACAAGAATAGCTGCGGTGATTAAGAGTCGAGCTCCGAGCTGACCCAATTTTATATAGTTGCTTATGGTTGATACTAAATGCAAAATCAATGACTACTTATACAGTTTGGGGAACATTGGAGGACATGATAATTTTCTTCCAAAGTAAAACACAATAATATTGGTTCAAGTAAAAACAAACTTAGAAATTAAAAATTGATGGCTGAGTTAATAAAATGTGTGTTTACAGTTAGACAATCACTTTGGGTAGTATTTGGCAATCCCGCAAATTCAAACTGTGTTTCGGTTTGAGAAGCACTTTAAATAGCCTATTGTAAATAAACTTTACTCAGTGATTTTAAGACATTAAAAAAATAACTTAAAAAAGCTTTTAGAACTACAAGCTAAAATAAGTATTTATGATTCGTATGATTTCGTTTATGCTTAAAAGTTGAAGTCCTTAGCTTGCACTTACCTTTCCGTTCGCCAAGGTAACGGAAACCAGGCTGCCCAACAGATAAACGGCGCCCAGAAGACCCGAGAGATACCTTAGATCTCTGGGTAACATCCTCGATGGGTCCTTTGGTCCTATCCGCAACGTATTTATGTCGCACTCTATCTAATTGCCTCTGTCTCTCCCCGCTTAAAACACACACGAAACTGCCAACGAAATAAGCATAAATTAGATTTTGAAATTGAGGAATTTTCGATTCTTATTCAATCCCCTAAAGAAACCGACATTAGCAAATCAAGTATTAAAGAGTTGTGAATCGGAAAAGTGTGGGAAACTAACGGAAAACGCTGATTTGCTGCTGCTGCGATCGTCGGGCACAGCACTCTCCCCACATGTGGAGATCGTCTAGCGTTCGAAGTATTACTAAACACGAGCCCCGCCAAAGAAATTTGAATTCTTCGCCCGCTCGCTTGGCACGCTCGGCTCCACTCGGCTCCGCTCGTAATAGTTCGGCCGTTCGATCGGCTCTCGGCTCACCAATACCATCGCAAGGCGAAGCTGCAGTGGTGTGCGTGTCGCAGGCACAGGCCAGGGACAGGCCTGGATGGCTGTTTCGTTGGAGATTTGGCTGGATGTTTGAATGTAGATGTGGCTCTGGTTCTGGCTTCGGTTCGGAATTTAGCACTTTGACGCCTTGAAACGAGGAAATGAGGAACAGAGCCCTCTAACCAAATCAAATCGGGCCGATTCTAAGCATACAAATTCTAGTTCCTATTTTGGTACCGTTTCTCTGATGAGGTATAATTGTTCTTATTCTCACTTCTGGCTATTAATTACAAGTCTGCTAGGAATATAAAAATTAATAATTTTCGCATTTTTAATCTTTAAAGCTTGGTACTGCAATTGATTTTAATATGCACTTTAACAGATCGATAGGTAATAAAAGGACACATACCATATTATTATTACTAAAATTTAAGTGCCAACTATCGACACAACATTTTGCTTACCGGGTATGAGCAAGTCTTTATACTCAACTCCAGCTTGCCCAGTAATTTCAATACAATTAGATGCTAGTTTGTTTGTCGCGCTCCTCGTGATTAGGTTAAGGCTTTTTCATTTAGTACTTACATATATTGCATATGTAAGGCTGATAAGACTGATATAGCTGAGTATTTCCTGTTAGAAAGAACTACTGAACAACTGAAAAAAGAAACAAGTCCCAGCTGCTCTTGCTCTGTGCTCCAACAAATCCGACACAGAAACACCAAATTAGAATCTTTCGAAATTCGAGCTTGATTTTGAGTTTTGGGGCCACAGTGTTTTGAAATAACTCTTGGTAGGGCTATAATCAAGGCCTTGTTCTAGTTGGGAAAGAGTTCTTTTGTTCTAGGGTACGTGCAAGTCGGATATGGTCTAGTGGCCTTAATAGGTCTCTTCTCAGGAAGCTGCTAGATTGTGATATGAAATGATGTCGCACTTTGCCAGCTTAAAATGAATTATTTTAAGTTCAAAATTAGTATGTAAATATAAGTCGTACTTACTACCAATATGAATGGATCTTATAATATAATAGTAATCAATTATTAGGGATGTTATGTGTAAATTAAATAAGTTATAGAACATAGTTATAAAACTTTGCACTTAAAATTACATTGTACATTTTTATTTTTAAAAATGGATAAATTTTAAAAGATAACCTCAAAAAAATTATTATTTTTTTATTATTGTATTTAAATTTGAAATAACATACTTTATTTAGTTTGGTAATTGTATATATTATAAGAATGATTTTTTAATCATTATGTGAAAAGCCTAGAAAGATTTTGTCAAGCCTTTGTCAAATTAATTATATTAAATTATTACAAATTATATTCAAAATTATATTAAATTTGAGATATTTTGAGAGCTATACTGATATACTAATTTTTTAAAACTGATGCAAAAAACTGTAATCTCGGTGAGATTTCAAAAGTTTATGTGCGCCATTACATTTTATAGCAAAGAAATATGAATAAATATAGATACAGCTCAATAAAATGTTTACACATGTTTTTTATGATTTCGTTATCCTTTAAGTTGTAATCTGTATAAGAAGTTTTCTTCTAAAAAAAAAAAAGATAATACTTCTGATGTGGTTATAATTAGAACATGGCCCTGATAACGAAGACCTCGGAACTTCCGATTTTCGAGCTCCAAAATAAGTCCAAGAGGCAGGAACCGCGGACCAAAACGGAAGTCATGTGCCCGATCTCGGGACGAGGGCTATCAGCTAAATTCAAGATGGCAGCTGGAAGCTGGGATCTGGAAGCTGGGAGCTGGGAGCTGGAGCTGGTTGAAGGTGCTCCCGGGGAGGTGATCCGGCGGAACGAAGCTGATGTGCTATTGAGCAACTTAAGTCGCATGTGGCATATCAACAGCAGCGCCTTAGTTTTGGACTTATCGCCAAGTTTCATTCATTCCGCAGCGACTATGTTAACTTGTGGGATTAGTGTTGCTACATACGTTTCATTGCCCATCCGTTCTATATGCCATGGTGCCACCCACCTCCCAACCGATCCGATGCCCATCCAATCCCCGTCCAATCACACGGATACTGTACGTGAGCCAGAGACCCGATCGCCGCGATCGTGCCCAGCCGAACGATCGGCGAGTGGAGATCGGGGCATCGGCGTTTGGCTTTTGGATCGCTCGAACTTATACTATAATTAGTCGTGTTCCGTCTCCCCGAGTAAGTAGTAGTCTGGTCTCGGTCCGGAGCTGATCTGGCCAGTTGGTTTTAGTCTGTAGTCAGCTCTGTGCAGTGGTGATCGGATCGGATCGCTCGGTTGTGAATGTGTGTTTTCAGTAGGGTCCACTGCCGTCTATCCGCCCCTTAAATAGGATTAGATTCCTGTAAGGAACTGAGCGTTTAAAACGAAGAAAAAATAACAAATTAAATAAACATGAATGACAATTTGTCGAGTAAATCAGGGTAACCGCGTACTTTTAACTGAAATTCTCCAGCAAGTCGTTGTGCGAGCCTCGTACCAGTTCCAGTGCTTTTCAAACTGTCGCGTGTACGAGAAATATTCCGATATGCTTGGAAATTAAATGAAACGAAATACAACCATTAAATCGTTGAAAGACAAATAAGCCAGCTTGATTTTCCCACGAATATTAAATAAAATAATATTCCTCTAAGAATATTTTTAATTTATTTTGCAACTGTTGCGAAATTAAAGTGCCCAATTTTTTGGCTCATCTTTCCAGGCCCAGCGACGGCGACATATAAAATTCAAATTCGACGAGGACAGAGCAAATAATTGTGCAGGCTTAAGTGCATAGGGCATCATGTTGCCCTTCTGGAAGCGGTAAGAAAAAAATATAATAGTAATGGTAATAGTAATAGTAACAGGGAAATTGCCTCAAAATTGTAAGTTAGTAAAAAAGTTAGTTAGTTAGAAAAAGAAGTTAGTTAGAAAGCAAGAGTAAAAATTTAAAAAAAAGTTTTCGCTTGGTAACAATAAAATACACTCATCCCTTAAGAAATTATTTTTTTTTTTCAGCAAATAAATATAGTTTATAAGCATATTGGTTCTTAGAAATCATTTTTGACATAATTAAAACCCACTTTTGACCAAAATAAAGTATTTCTAAACTGTTTGAATACTTAAGTGCATCCAGAAAAGCCACATATTAATTTTATTAGATATCTGCAATACGAATGGAAAAAATATTTTTTTTTACTTTATACATGCTTGCAATTATTTTTTAAGTCTTACGAACTGCACTCTCTTAAAAACTTGTTACCTCTCTCTTAAGTGAGAGCTCTTTTCACCGAAGCCTTAAGAGAGTGGCCACTCGAATTAAATAAACTGCTCAATTAAAAAACTAGCCTGATAAGACGGATCGTCTGTACGAAGCACAGTTCCTAACCCTCCTGATCCCCGTCGACTTCTTTGCAGGCTGCTATACGCCGCTGTGATCGCGGGAGCGTTAGTCGGTGCCGACGCTGTAAGATAACCAGTGGACATGCAATCCAACGGGACATTATTTAATATACTCATTTTTCCCTTAGCAATTTTGGAAGACGTCTGGAACGTCCGGTTCGATCCAGGACTCAGTGAAGCAATATCGAAATGAACCCAAGATCCCAATTGACGACAGTTACGACATCGTAGATTCTGCCGGTAATCTACCGCCTAAGAATTGTACGGCCGGATATGCGGGCTGTGTGCCCAAGTGCTTAGCCGAGAAGGGCAACCGGGGTCCGCCGGGCCATCTGGGACCCACGGGAATGAAGGGCGAGATGGGTTTCCCTGGTATGGAGGGACCCTCAGGTGACAAGGGTCAGAAGGGTGACCCCGGCCCATATGGACAGCGTGGTGATAAGGGAGAACGCGGATCGCCGGGTCTTCATGGTCAGGCTGGTGTACCCGGAGCTCAGGGACCCGCCGGCAATCCCGGCGCCCCTGGTATCAACGGCAAAGACGGTTGCGACGGCGAGGATGGTATTGCCGGCTTAGAGGGTCTGTCCGGAATGCCCGGACCACGCGGCTATGCCGGCCAGCTTGGCAGCAAGGGCGAGAAGGGTGAACCGGCGAAGGAGAATGGTGACTATGCGAAGGGCGAGAAGGGTGAGCCCGGTTGGAGGGGCACTGCCGGTTTGGCTGGACCTCAGGGATTACCTGGCGAAAAGGGCGAGCGCGGCGACAGCGGACCTTACGGAGCCAAAGGACCCCGGGGTGAGCACGGTCTGAAGGGAGAGAAGGGTGCCTCCTGCTACGGACCCATGAAGCCTGGTGCACCGGGAATCAAGGGCGAGAAGGGTGAGCCGGCATCATCGCTTCCAAGCAAACCGACGCACACAGTAATGGGACCTCGTGGCGATACGGGACAGAAGGGAGAACAAGGCAGAGATGGCCGCAAGGGTGAGCCCGGATTGGAAGGCGAAACTGGAGCCGATGGACAGAAGGGCGAGAAGGGTCTGCCCGGCGGACCAGGCGATCGTGTAAGTAGAGTTCATATCGTTGTTGAAGTCGGAACCTATATCTGTGATATATCCTGTCTTCGTATTGTAGTAAAGATCCTAATACATTCTCAATTATGTTTCAGGGTCGCCAAGGTAACTTTGGACCCCCAGGCTCTACAGGACAAAAGGGAGATCGTGGCGAGCCGGGCCTTAATGGCCTGCCCGGTAGTACCGGGCAGAAGGGTGAGCCAGGACTTGCTGGAGCGACAGGTCAGCCAGGTCTGCTCGGTCCCCCGGGACCGCCAGGCGGTGGACGTGGAACACCAGGACCCCCGGGCCCCAAAGGACCACGCGGCTATAGCGGCAAACCTGGACCCCAAGGATTAAACGGAAATGATGGACTTCCGGGTCCACAGGGATACACTGGACAGAAGGGAGGTGCTGGTCTGCCCGGACAAAACGGTAACGAAGGACCTCCTGGCAAAAAGGGCGAAAAGGGAACCGCAGGACTTAATGGACCAAAGGGATCTATTGGACCCATTGGACACGCAGGACCGCCGGGACCAGAGGGACAGAAAGGTGAGGCCGGTATGCCCGGTTATGGCATTCAAGGACCTAAGGGAGATGCAGGAAAGCCTGGGTAAGTGCAATGATTCAGTCGATTTCCAGTAGGGAACTGAGTCAGACCCTTACTATCATTCATACAAGATTTTATTTAATGGTTTTAAATGTGAATGATGTTCGTTTATCCTAGTTATCCCGGACTAAAGGGAAGCAAGGGAGAGCGCGGCTTCAAG